CCTTCCCCCTCTCTCACACGTTCACTCTCGCCACTCTGTTCTAGTGGTTCAGATCCTAGCCCTGCCACTTGTCATCGGTGACTTTGGGTTGGTTATGTCACCTGAGATTCCTCACTGGTGAGACAGTGACCACATTGCTTACTTCTCACTATCATTGTGAGGATTAAATAAGATAATATATGTAAAGAGCTTGAGACAACCTCTGGCTCGTATTGCTGTGGCAACACATTTATTTTGAAAGCAGTGTTCACGTGTCCCTAGAGAAAATCAGAGAATCGTGGCAGAGCATGCAGTACAGGGCTTCCCAACCTTCCCTTCTGTCTGATTCCTCCCTCCTGGCACATGGGGTGATGGGTAACCGCATGGGAAAGCCGTGGGAAACGGCACGGCAGAGGTGGGACTTCATGTAGCTTTTACCGACTCTACAGTAATGTTTAATCCTGTGTCATTAGAAACTCGAGAATATTTCCCTCACTTTTGAAGGTGGTTCCTTCCTGGGAAAAAAGGGTCCCTGCCCATTGTTCAAGGGTCCTGAGAATTAGAGCTAGAACAGTAGCCTCTGATTCTGCATGGGAGCTTTTTGACATCATATGTGTTGTTCTTCCTGCATCGTGTGTTTGGAAATACCTGATTCCTATTCTGGTTAAACATTTATTTTCAAAATATTTTAACAGGGATTATTTAGGCCACAGCTTTGAAACCCGGCCAAGGAATTCTGGGTTTCTAAGCAGCATCATAGGTCTTACTGTCTTGTTGGTAAGGCTGTTGGTGCTGCTTTAGTTCATGCTCTTACCTAGAAATGTAGGAATAATTACAATGCAGTTCTCTCCGAGGCTGGGAATTGGGAAGTCACTGAGGCACTTACAATGCACATCAGTGTTTTACAGTCTAATTACAGAGGAGTCCGAGTACAAGTGGGTAATTAGTGCCTTGCTTGAGGTAATTGACACAAACAGTGACGTTTGTTCCTAACATAATTGGACTCTGTCCTCTGTGAAGGTCATGCCTGTCTTCTTACATGGACAAGGTAAGGAGACTGTAATAAAGATATACTGAAGCCTCAAGAATTAGTAATTGCAGTGAGAGACCAGGCTGAGTTAGAGAAATTTAAATCCATTACTATTGCATTATGAATGCAGAAGTTGTAGTTTGAAACACATAAAACATTTTGCCAAGGAGGGGTCTTTTCCACCTGCTTTCAATGACCAGGTAAAAATTTGTCTGTTTGCTTAAGTGTTCAGAGTGTTTATTCCCTTAGGAAGGCTACACATGGCAGCAGTTTACCAAAATTCCAGTGGCCTCACGTTGCTCCATCAGAAATGGCAGAACAGCCACTGTGGGTCTTGCCGTGATACCTTGTTGCATTGATCTAGCGCTTACGTGTCTCAGCGAAAGTCCTCCCTTAGTAGATAACAGACCATTTGTTAGTATTTAGTGAGGTTCTAACTGGGGTGCCAGCACCCGACCCAGGCCGGGGCTGTTGAGTGGCCTGTATTTTATCCCATGAAGACTGGAGGCCAAGTCATGGGACTGAAAGGCCAGCTTGCGTGGAGCTTCCACCGTGTGCTGTGCATCCGTCGTCTCAGTGAATTCACTCTGGCGCCTCTGGGCTGGGCTCACTCCATGTCTAGGGGCGCTGCGTGCTTTTCAGCACAGGCTTCAGAGCGTCCTGGCGGCGGCGGAGGGCTCAGTGCACACAGACCTTGCTTCTCCACATCAGTGTCAATAACCTTACTTACAAAAGTCAGGTCATAACTGTACTGTCTTAGGGGGCTGTTCTGGTTATTGATTGTGACGGACGGTGCAGTAGTCCCGAAAGCATTTAGCACCCTGACATGTACTAAGCTTTTGATAGTAGCTCTTATCCTTAAGGGCAAGTCCTAGATTGAATATTTTATTTTAAAACGTTCTGCGTATATTCCAGGTCCAGGGGATGGAGTCCTGTGTTTACCCAGTTTTTGAAGAAGTAGTGAGTAAACATGCAGGGTCTCTTCCTTTGGCATGGAAAGGTCAACAGAGGGATCGCCGCAGCTCCAGGGCCTCAGCTGCCTGGGCTTTAGGACCTCCCCTAGCAGTCATTTGGAGCTTAGTGGTACCAGGACGGAGTGTCTCGTTAGTGTACTACGCCGCTGTTAGATCCTTGTGGGGAGTACCCGGCCCTCGTGCCTACTCCCCTGCCTCCCCAAACACGGCGAGGGCACAGTAGTTCTTGAATTAAACTTGTCACGTCCCTAATTCTTCACCACCCTGTGCCACGTGGAATTCTCGAGAACAAAGGTATTATCTTCACTCTGCCAAAGGACATTTTCTAGAAAAGTATAGCAGAGATTTTACAGTTGGAGCTTTGTGCTCAGTGGTCTAAGGACTTGTCAATAGAAAATATCAATTTGTACGTATTTGCTAAAGGGACTGAGTGAAACTGATAGAAATAAGCTCAATTCCGTCACCTCTCACTTTGCCTCCAAGCCTTCCCTCTGGAAGGACCGATTCCCAGATTCAGCAGGGTTTTGCTAAACGCTGGTTTCTCCTCGCCACAGCCTGCAGTGTACATCAGGATCAGGAACCGGGCCCAGAACGAGTACCTGACGGTCACTGGAAGTGTTGCTGACACCCGGGCGACCTGTGTGTGCACCTCTCCCTACAGCGGGAAGAACACCCAGGTCTGGCACTACTGCCGGGGGCTCTTCAAATCCAAGGTAAGCGCCTGCTGATTCCAGACCCTGCTTTTTGGTTTGGGGCTTTTTCTTTTAGGAATCAGAATCTTGCCAGATAAAATGGCCTGATAAAATGTGACTTCCTAGAAACAGTCTGTTCCAAGATTATGTGGATACTGGTGTTTATGTTACTAAAGCATGTAAGTGAACTGTACTTAGAGAAGTTTTTGATCTAGAAAACTCCGCTTCTATTTTAAAGTAAAACCTAAGGTGGTCACATACTAAGGGTTGTCTCAATTATTTTTTTAAACCAATGATAACAGTCACTGAATCCAGATTGGACAGTGTGATTTTCAAGGTGAGGTGTTCCTTTAGGTCCCAGATGAAATGAGCTGTCTCTGTGATTCCTGACTGCTAGGGGTGGAATCATTTCATTTTCAAATTGTGCAATGAAGCCATGAAAGAAGCCATGACTGGAGAAAGCCTAGAAAATAAAATTTAGGTTTGTTTCTCTGTGACCCCTCCATTATGTTTTATGCTATGGGGAATAGAATTAAAGTTTAAAAACATCCCAAGTGTATTTTATTGAGTTGCCAATAGATTGTCTTCTTTTTTTCTCATGTTTCAACAAAAATGAAAAGCATTAAGAAAACTGAGCTCAACCTAATACAGTGAAGCTAACAGGGTTACTTAACGTTTTGTTGTTTTATTTATTCTCACCCAAGAATATTTTTTCCATTTATTTTTAGAGAGTGAAAGGGAGGGAGAGGGGGAGAGAGAAACATCAGTGAGAGAGAGACACATCGATTGGTTGCCTCCCACACACGCTCTGACTGAGGCCAGGCATCGAGCCTGCAGCCGAGGTACGTGCCCTTGGCCGGACTCAAACCCAGGACCCTTCAGTCCGCAGGCCAGTGCTCTAACCACTGAGCCAACTCAGCCAGGGCTGTAGGCGTCCTCTTAAAAACAAGTTACCTCTATTTCAGTACCATTTCCTCCCCTCAGCCATAAAGACTTTTTAAAAGCTTACTAAAATTATAATTATGCTGTATAGTATTCTTTTTAGATAAGACATAGTCACCTAACTGATTTGTTTACATGAAAGAAAAAGGGTCTGACTCGGGACTCGGCTCTCCCTCTCCAGAGCACGCGCTCGACTCCCCCCGCCCCGCACCTTGCCTTGGCCTTTGCCTTTGCCAAGCTCCAAGGGCCCTCCGTCTGCCTCAGTAACTGGTCCCCTGAGCCTGCACAGCCCAGCGGGCACACTTCTACTACCCCTGTAACTTCCCAAATAAATGTTCTCTTATAATTTGAAAAAGAAAAGGGACCCCATTCAACTGATTTCGGCCAGCATAGTCCTGCCAACGTATTTCTTAACCCTTTAGGCCAGTGACTTGTGCCTCGACGTGATTGGGGGCCGGGACACACCTGGAGCTAGAGTGGCCCTGTGGACCGAGCATGGGCAGTCCAGGCAGAAGTGGAGGCTGAACCGGAACGGCACCATCAGCTCCTACCTCAGCGACCGGCTTGTCCTTGATGTGAAAGGTGGGCCCGGGGTGAAGCCCCGTGTGTCGCGTTTCTGGATTCCATTTTAAGTTAAACTTCCTCCTCCTCCTCCTCCTGGGTAAAAGAAACCCTTATGTATCAGAGAAGTATTAAGTCATTTTAAATTATACTTGGAAAACGTTAAGATATGCTGCTTTAACAAAACAAAACCACCGGCTATATGGCTCAAACAGAAAAAGCCTAAGGACAACGTCTAAGGTTTTTGTTCATCGGTACAGTTGTAAAATTTGTATTTGTTCATCCTATGATGTTTGGGATCAATTTTAAATTTGAACATCAAACCATAAAATACCATGTTTCTTAGAAGCACCTCTAACTTTTGCCGTGACTTGCTGTCGTCCTTAAAAGCCGTTAAAACTTGCAGTAGGTGCTTAACCTTGTTCTTTCATCCAGCAAGGTCAGGGCCGATATTGTTCAGGGCCGATATTGTTCAGGGCCGCTGCTTTAATTGGGTTAGTCGCAGCCACTGTTGGTGTAGAAACAAAAACAAAGTACCTGACACTCAGCCAGGGCTCTCGAGCGAGCACCCTGCTCTTCAGACTCGATGACTGCGTAAGCGGGGTACCCCGGCAGTGCATCACCCCTCAGGTTTTCAGCCTGAGTCATGACCAGGTCCCATTGGAGGGGAACAGTAGCTAAGCCTGTTTAAACTCAGTTTCCCATTTCGGGCCACTCTGTAAATGACGTACTAATCCACCCAGACAGGCTGAACAGAGGCTTATGGACACTGAAGCACCTGTGAGAACAAATAACCTTTTCTTTGGAACTTCTATTTTAGGAGGAAATTATGACAAGACTCATGTCGTCGTAAATCAGCCCCTGGAGGGAGAAGAAACACAGAAATGGGACATTGAAATACTGTGAGGGACTCGGCAGCATCCCCAGAAAGAACAAAGGGAGAAGCAGCGCCCTCACCTCCCTGGGAAAGGGAGCTGCTGGCCCCCACTCCTGGATCCGAGAAGGCGCTTTTAACTGACGCTCCCAGGTCAGACTGTCGCCGCTCTCCGCGGGAACAGCTCAGAATATTGTTGCCAGGTGTTCAGTGTTCCTGCGAGGAACACGGCATGGTTTCTGGGGAAGGTTCTCTTCCTGCTCGACCTCCAGTTTGGGTGAGCAAGTTTACTGAAATCTGTGTTCAGTCCGCCAAATACGACTCCTGTTCCCGACAGCCATTATTTAGGACACTGGCATCATTATTTAGGGGCTGTCCTCCTGTGGTTGTTACTTGAACCCCTGTAGACATGGGGGTGAGTGCGAGGCCCAGGAAAATAGATTCCTGTAGTTCAGTCACACTTGTGCAAAAATGAGTAATTTTTAGCAATATTTGAAGACATCCGATAAACCTGTTAAGCTGCTGTATTAGCTAAACCTCGAAGGTTTTGTATTGAGGCTTTTAGAACTGAAGCACCGTAAGGATTCGTACTTGTCACTGACCCCAGGGAGGGGCCTCAGCTTCATTGGGACAAGGCACAAACGCTGGAGCGTTTTCTGAGGCCATCCTGTGCTCAGCCCTTCAGACTAACGAAGCACATGCCCTGTGACCATCCTTGCGCCCTCTGGGCCGCAGGACTCTCACCAGTGTTTCCTGTCCCAGTGCTGAGATCTCACCCTGGGGTTTTGCCTGATCTGCCCTCAAGAGTTTACTAAGATTGTTTCACCTACATATAATATAGTCACTTTTATTTGCCTGAAGTAAAGGGAAGTTTCACCTGTTCAAATTAAAACCAGGTAGTAGTTGAGAGTTTACCACTTTAAGTAAAAGTGGAATTGATTTTTCTGCGAAATGATAGAAAACTCAGTTTTCTACTCCCATCTTAAATAGCTTTTATTCAAGCAAAACCAGGTAGGATGCCATCTTGGACTTGGTTCCAAGTAATCATTGCCACCGTGAACTGTACAGTCCACATTTTCTCCTCCTGAGCTGGTTTTAAACTGACAACTGAGACAACTTCCCTTTAAGCCCCAGCTTTTGCCAAAAAGCAGGAAAACGTCTGTTCTATTTTTATATAGAAAGATTAAGTTCTCCAATGGTATTTTTTAAAAATATCAACCTATATGCACTTTAGAATGTAAAATAACAATTGTTTAAACTCAAAGACCCACTATTTTGAGTACTTTTATAGAGACTTAGTCTTTCTGTGTAAATATTATTGGGGGGTCTTTTCCTTTAATCTCAGGCTCTTGTCATCTCTCAAGCAGCATCTATAAATCTCCCTACACCCACAGACACGAGCGCCTCGCATGAAGGTGGCCGTGTTATTTAATGAAACTTACAGGGGGAACTTTATTTTAA